CGGGAGTGGACGGTGGGTACAAGCCCTGTGCTGCGGATGGAAGCTTTGAAGGAACGGATGGCTGAGGAGGGGCATGGAAGGAAAGGAAAGATGGGGGAAAACGATCTGCTGTTTGCCACTGAGCATCTCTGACTTGCAAGAGTCTGACACTGCAGACTGAAGACGTTTCTTATGAAACAACAAACCTCCTCCCTGTGTCACTCCTGCTCATTATTCCAGGCAGTACTGGGCCAGCCACACCGTGTGCGTTTCTTTTTTTGTTCCTTATTTCTGCATGGCTGACGTGACGGGGAAGAAAGTGGAACTCATGATCCAGAGCTGGAGTTTTGTTATCCACAGACCTTTTCTGCATCATCTGCCTCTTCAGTTGGACACGGGAAGGATGATGGTGTAGATGCTGCTGCTACTGCAGGGGTCCCGCCTGGTTGATCACCCTGCCCACCCCACCCCACCCCAGCGCGGAGGGACAGCCAGAGAGGCACCATGTACAGAATCGCATCTATTTCTGCTTTGTTTTCCGACTCGGAACCCTGGCCCCGATGACTACGACAACAACAACAAAAAAAGGGCAAATGCATTTTTTTACATTTCTTGATAATTTCCAAAGCAATGTATCATTGCTTTCTTTAGACTGACGCCAATATAACAGTTGTATGGGTCTCAGCCAGGCTCCTGTGTCTTTTCTGCCTGATAGTTTCAGATTGCTGTATGAAATGTATGCACGTTTGCACACAGACACGATCGGACGGGGTGACGGCACCACGAGCCCGTGGGGTTGTTCACCTGTGTCACAGATGATGTTGGAGGCCTTGCTTCGTACGTGTAGGTGAGAAACCCCAACCCACTGGTCCAGTGAGCTGAAGCGAAGCAGCCCTACTGAGACAGAACTGAGTATCCTAAGATATATGCACGGTCCCGGTGTGGCAGGGGCAGGGTGGGGGAGAGGAAGGCTGAATGGGGAATTTGGAGCACAATAAAGTTGATCAAATAAGTAGAATCCAGTCGGGGGCTTCTGGTAGCAGTGAGGTTTTGTCAGTTCCCATAATGAAAACTCTAGCACAAATAAAGAAAATATTCCAGGCCATCAGAAGTCCCAGCCCCCATCTTGCTAACACGAGGCTGGAGGGCTCTAGAGGCCAAGGACGTTGTATTGATGCAAAGAATGTGGAAAACAGAACTGGGCCCAGAAAAATTTGATTATACCTTTCCTCCATTTATTTTCTTTTCCAAAGAAGTCTAAGAAATATAATTTTCAATAGCTGCACGGGGTTTCTTTTTTTCTTCTTTTGAATGTTGCTAAGTTTTTAAAGTTTTATTCTGGGTTAGCAAGCCCAGGGAGACGAAAGGTTTCCAATGGGACTGTGGTCCGTGGAGCT